TACAGCTCGATGAAGATAATTTACTAATTTTAAGAAGCGTGAGATGACGCTCCGAGCACATTTCCGATGCCGATTACTTCATATATGCCTGTTACTAAACATTTCTTTTGAATTAATTTAAAAGTAATATTTTTATCGATTGGACATTTTAGTAGAAAATTGTGTTTTACTTTTCTTCTCTCCATTCATCCTTCCATCATTTGCCTTTTTTGTCTCCTATTCTTCTTCTTCGTTCTACACCGTGGTTCCTCTGATTCAAATGGGAATGTAGCAATTTTCCGCAAGTGGATAATTAGTTACAGTGGAACCATTAGTAACCAACAACCCGGAACTTAAACCTCACGAGACGTCTTTGCTTTCCCTTACTATTCTTTTGTTTCTATTACACAAACCTTTCTCGCGAAGGTTTATTATTACCGACTATCCTCGGTATTATAATCCTTCAAAGATTGAAAGATAATAAAGTATTCGGTCTACGAGAAAAGAAATCGTCTCACTGGAGTAAAATCAAAACACTTTACTTGCGTTCCGCCGCGAAATAATTAAAAACGCATCTGGCCTTATTCTCGATCTTTGAGATATCTCGCATCCATAAAAGCCTGCCGGCTGCAGCAATGCGGAAGTCGATTCGCAAGGTCACGGCGCTACTCTTCCCTTTCCTGTTCTTTCCTTTTCTTCATCTTCTTCACGATCCTTTTTTTCTTTTTTTTCGTCCTTTTGCCCTTCGTCATCGCACTCCGTTATGCTCCGGTCGCGCGGCCAATGCTTATCTTCCATCCTTCCATCCGTCTCACTTCCGGCGGAAGCACGTCCGTAACGGACACAATCCTTCTCGTTGTTTTTTTTGGAGATATACAGCAGAGAGTATACATACATCCCTTTTTGTAATGATCGATGCTTCTCGTGTATCTATGGTTTTTTAAAAAAATGTGTCTTATCATTTATTATCACTTGCGTTTGGGTTTTCCGCCTCTGTCCTTACAAACGTTAAAGACACTTGTAATCGCTCGCGTGAATCATCGTAATAAATTTCTTCATAAAGTGATAAATTAACAGATGTAATTTTCCTCGTAACGGACGTAATGCCACGAGCTTCTCTAAGCAATAGAAAAAAAACTGCGACCTTTTCAACATTCGTACTATTTTTATTGCGCAATTCTACTGTGTGAGTAAATTTATCGACAATTTCTGTGCCGTTGAATTCGCACAATAATCGTAAGTCTGTTAATCCTCTCGAGGAAATTGCTTGGTTCTCAGCTCACCAGATAATCAATTCTTAGAGTAGATATAAGATATGTTGTTTGAATTTATTCTCATAGATTAAATAATATATTATATTAACATATTATTTAACCTATGAGAATTATATTAATAATTATATTATAATTATTAATATATATATATATATATATATATATAATAATAATATAAAGTAAACATTTATAATAAATATATTATAGAGATAATTTATTATTAATTGTGAACACACAAAGTCAATGTCAAAGAATTTGCAGCTAATTAGTCCTGGCAAGGGCTTATATGCTAACGCGCAATACACGAATCGGAAGAGCGTGCCGTCACTAATAAATTAAAGATAAGCAAACAATTAATTATTGATTTTTCATTGGTGTACCGTTATTCGGCGTATCCTGACAACACAGTATCTGAGACTGCCAAGGCACACAGGGGATAGG